TAATGTGAAATTATTATGGATTTAAAAGGGCCTGTTTCCAGTTAATTCTCCATAGGAGCCTGCCCCGTATAATTTCTTATCTAGCTCAACTACTGTTTTTTTCTTTTCCGAAAAATAATTTTACACCTTTCCGACACCCAGATTTCATAATTTCAGTGAAAATGTATTTTTATAAAGTTGTCTATTTCAGCATCAAAGACATAAGTTCGTAAATGAAAGAAAGTTATCTCGAAATTGTAATTCGCAACATAGTATAAATTTATTTTGATAAATATTTCCAAAACATCGTGTTTGTTCATAAAATATTCTCGAATGAAATGCACTTGCAGAGACACAATAATGAAGAAAAATGCCATAAATTTGCAATTTTCTCCAGTTATATAGTTTTGGATGCAAATTTCCATCAAAAAATCCGTTAGAGCTTTACTTGTTTCATATGTGTACCAAAAATCAGCTAATTCCATGTGGTGGAACGTTCTCATATCGCCGCCTGAATGTGGTTGTAAATTGAAAGAAAAGGGGAAATGAGTAACAACCTTGTCTGAAACCCTATTATATAGCTTATTATATACAAACTTTTATATTGAATATCAGAGCGGATATTTTCATGACAGTTTTATGATGTGTAACGACTAAATAAATAGTATCGATATAAAGATTTACACTGAGGACACCCTGATACATGAATACTGTTCTATCTCAAGCTGTCCTCTTCTGAATTTTCTGATCGTGTGGCTTGTACATTTATCTGTATCTTCTTGTCTTTGTCTATACGTTTACGAAATCATTCACTCGACGCTAGCTATTCTTGTCTCAATTTCCTTGTTTTATTGTCCCATCTCCAAAGCGTTGTGGCTCTGTCAGGGTTGGGACCCTGACTTGTCTCACTTTCTTTGTGCCTGCCGACCACGCCACATCGAATAGATAGATTATCCATATGAAATACTTCTTGGAGGTATTGAATGTGATTTATTATATTGTCTTGTTATTTTGTGTAATTAGTTGTTCGTTATTTATCACACATTTTCGCATAATTATACCAAACTATTAAGTATTAGCTGTTTACAGCAATCATCGGTAGCTTACTATTTTGTTACTTTATCGACGCTTCATAAACCAATCGTTATTATTTCAAGATGGAGGGTAAATGTGTTGGAGAAGAGTGTCAAGCATACTTCAAGAAACGTAGTGGCAATAAGAACAGAAGTGCACGCAATGTAAATAGTCCACAATATAAATGGCTCCTAGATACGCTGGTGCAACAAGGATTGATGTCAGCAAAGGAACAAGCATTTATTTGCCAGAAGTGCTACGTGAAGTATCTTCGGAACAAAAATCAGCCTGAACCTGAACCCGAGCAGAACCAGGAAATAGAGGAAGAAGACGACTCCCCGTCCCATATCCTGCCGTTGCTGACCCTTCATGATCTTTTGAATGGATCATCTTCACACAAAAAATGCTGTCTCTGTCTTGTTACTTTTCAAAAAAATGGAACAAAATTATCAGTCTTACCAAAACGTGCAAGACATCACCTGATTTATTCACACAAACTGTGGTGTCCCACCTCATCCCGCGTCTGCTCCATTCACCTTATTGGTAACGACTTAGATCCGTCTACAGAGGTTGTCCTTGATGGTAGAGGTTTCTTGGAATCTCAGTTACCATCAAAATCGTCCGAAATCATTAATGACCTCCTAGAGGTGTCGCACGTCCTTTCACAGAACCAGTCTGCGTTTACAATAAGCTTTTCTTCTCTTGATGACTCGGCATGCATGGCCTGGACAGGTTGGTCCAAAGATCTGTTCCTCGAAATCCACTCGCACTGTTCCTCATATCTTTCATCTGGTATATATACCAAGACTACACACGATGCTCTATTACTGTTCTGGGTAAAACTGAAAACCGACATTTCCTGGAGTCAGTGTTCTTCTCTTTTTGGAATTTCCAAGTCAAGTGTGTCCAAAACTTTCCACTCCATAGTACAAGCATTAGACACATCGATAGTCCTACAATTTCTAGGTCCGGATCACTTGACAAAAGAACAATTGCTCGGGCACAATACTGTCTTTTCAGAAGCATTTTTTGGAGATAAAGCCACTGCCATATTAGATGGCACCTATATTTATATCCAGAAAAGCTCCGACCACAAGCTCCAGAGAATGTCCTACTGTGGCCAGAAGAAGAGAAACTATGTCAAATTCATGAATATCGCCTTACCAGATGGCTACATTCTGGACACCGTAGGACCATTCACTGGCAGCGAAAATGATGCTACAATTACAAAAAAAGTCATGGACAAGCTAGTTACTTGGCTACAACCAGACGACAACGTTGTCGTTGACCGAGGTTTTAGAGATGTCCTACCAGTTCTCGAAGCCTCTGGCCTCAATGCTAGCATGCCGTCATACCTGAAACCCGGTCAAAGTCAACATTCTGACGTCCAAGCAAATCTTGACAGAACTATCACCAAATCGAGGTGGATTGTGGAATCCTATCATGGTCGTCTGAAACACTGGACGTTCTTCCGAACGCAATTGGTGTCTAACAGCTTTATCAATGTCATTGAGGCTTTGCTTCGAACCGTCACAGCCTGCCTGAATGGTATTAGAGGACCGATCTACCAGAGATCTCCAGAGAGAGATGCCAAAGATAGGCTAATGGCTAAACGTATGAAGGACCGTTTGACAACACCGAATGGTTTAGCTCAGAGAGTCAAGATAGATCCGGATCTGTCTAGACGGGCAAGGTCCGAGTTTGTCAAGATGGATGCATCTTCCGTACTGTTTCCCCGTCTCGATCTTGATTACTTGAGAACCATTACGTGTGGAACGTATCAGATACCTCTGGCTCCTGGTTACATCGCCGAACATTTAAGTGATGACGGAGACTATGAGGTGTGGCTTTACCAGCTCTACCCAGACCTTCTCCGATGTCAAATACATTCTCGACACAAAAGCCAAACGAAATATAACGTTTGGATACGGTTCACCGTTTCACCCGATATTGAGGCCCCAATAAAATACTACTACTGCCAGTGCCCAGTTGGAGAGAGAACGATGGGAATGTGTGCGCACATCTCCAGTATCTTGTACTACCTTGGTATTACAGGACACTGGAAAACCCTCGACCATTACAACATTGAAAATGTTCCACCACTTACATTTTGATGATTTTTCCTCTCATCCATAGCATATTACGTACTATTTAATAGGATAAAAATTGGTTTGCATCCAACGCCCATAAAAGGGTGTATTCTCTAAAAAAACACAGTTTTTGTGTCTAAAATGTTATCATCGAAAATGGCATTTTTGAGATTGTTTCTTCCATAAAACAGCCAAATGGCGCGATGGAAACATGATTTTTTGTCACAATCATGCCATGAATGTATTCTTTACGGTGACTATCATTTGATTAGATTTTCATTAATATTTTACATAACATGCACATTTTATCAACACTTAGACAGCTTCTGAAAGGTACAACTTTGAGGAGCCATAAAAAACAAACCAAGTGACCTAAATCTTTACACTTTATAGATTTGTGACTACAACGGCATGGGCAATGCACCACCAACAGGAAATTTGAATCAGAGAAGGGGCCGTTTTGGAAACCGGCCCTTTTAATGAACACCCTGTACCATAATGGCACCAAAACAAATAACAGAACAATGGAAGTCAATGTACTGATCATTACCATCGAAAACGCCCTCTTCAATACTGTTAATTATGTTCATTTGTATATAAAAATAGGACATTGCTTTTACTTTCCTTGCAACTGCATTGGTTCTTATTATCTACGATATCTTTTAATATGGAAAAACTGTTATTCTGTAAATAAAAAAGATGTACGGTTTAAAGGTTATTTGAACTCATAATATTTCAAAAAATACAAACAACATATATATTTATAATGATATAATGAAGTTGGCTGTGCAACAAGCATGGACCAGATGTGTCGGGAGGTTATAAAAATAACCCTATAACTGTTGTAATATATTGTACATGACTAGGTCAAATCTAAAAAAAATAAAAGAAACAGAGAGCATTATTTGCGTTGGAACAGGCATTTCTATTGGGTTTATGATTGGTATCCATTTCAAAGCTAGGGGTCCGGTCACCGAATTTAGAACAACGATATTGATGATAGGTTAATATATATACAGTTTGAAATGTAAATCAGCTAAGCGATATAGATATCAATACTACAACCAACGTAGACAAAGAATAACAAAAATGTGAATCAACTCAATAATACAACATCAGTAAGATAAAGGCATCAATGAATAAAGAATTATATCGAACAACAATAACAAACCACAATAAATTCAATCTAGTATTGTCTTTGAAATTGTGTCATTATAACAGTTACAAACACCACAAAGATGTTATCGAATACTATCTGTTAATATTCTTCTTATGCATGTTGTAATTTCGATATGAATTTCAAAAAATACTACGAACTCATATACTTTCACCGGTCTTTTTTTATCAATTATTATTTGTTTTTAAGTCATTATTATTTCTTTGACTCTAAATTTCATATATGAATGGTACTCACCTCACCGTTGGTAATGAAAGATAACATTTCAGAGAGAAAATTATGGACTTAGTATCAATAAAAACAAAGAAACGAAATAAAACACAAATATTATTGATATAACCATACTTAATGTAGGTAGTGTTGTTTATATGTTTTTCGGTAATATTTTTTAAATGTTAACCAGATGATGGAAGGAGCACTAAAACAAATCGGCAAACCAGTATATGATTGTATCGACACATTTCTAAGTATGAAATTCAATATGGAATATGACATCTGGTAAAACAATAAGAAGATTTGAGATCATCCGTTATAGATTAGTCAACACGCACTAAATACACAACCACATAATGAAGTTTCCATTAAGCCATTGTGCTATTACTTTCATAGTACATTCGTATTTATCGCCAATATCCTGTATACAAATCGATTCTTTTATATCAGGATATACAATGGTCGAGGACAATGTCCGGTGTATCTGGATTTAGATAGCAAGTACGATTTTCGTCACTGACGCAAATAGTATCCTACAGTAAGTCTCTTTCATTTTGAGTTCACCTAATTCAATGCTGAGAAGAATATCAGAAAGTGTCTTTTTTCACTATGAAAAAGCTAAACATTTCTCGTTTTTATTTTATTTTTGATCTTCAGAAACCATTAGTCCTGCAAAAGAAAAATTTACACGGAAACTCTTGAAAAAGTACAAGAATAAGACCAGGTGCTTCGGAAGAGTAAGCATCTTCTGCTTCATTCTGCTTCATTGACGACACTCATCATATTAATACTGGTCAATACAAGTACGTGATTTCACGATCTCAAATGAGAACAAGGATTTCTTACCAACCTGAATCTTTCGAAACCTTTTGTTAAGATTTTTCTCTCAGTTGACAACATCTTGCTCGCTATTGGAAACATATTCTTCCGCAGATTAGCACACTCTATCAGAGCTCGACATTGGTCCCATATAAACTGATTCCTTGATTTTTGTTTTAACAAATATTTTGTGAATTCAAATTCTTCCATTACACAGAGCACACCGATATATCATCACAATGATTAAAATCAACATTACTAAAACAATTTTGTCCACTAGTGCTTCCGTTGTCTATGTTCTACTTAAAACATATACATATGTGCAAGAGTGCGTGTGTGTAAGGATGTGCAAATATGTAAAGTTAGGGTTGTACATCTGCTGTGAAGGTATCCAACCTATGAAGTTGAAACCTTACATTGGTTTTAACAGTTACCCTAGTCACAGGTGTTTATCATGATTCCAGGCTTCAGAAAAATTTAATCTAATGGACTTGCAGTATATTTATAGAATTATATTCACAAAATTGATACACCAAACTAAGGATGATCACACATGGATATCTGACATTTTTTTTTCCAAAAGTTGGAAATGGCAAAATCAAATTTTGGCGCATTATCAATTTTGGTCATTTTAGCTTATCCACAATAATTGCTATACGAACAATATTCAGAAAAAATTCCTTTTAGCGAGGTCAGATTCTAGTGCAATACTTTCGGCGCTAAAATAAGATAGACGCTAACACAGGAATGTTTACAGTATCTGCGGATACTTGATCAAAATTCGACAAATCGAAATCACTCGAGGATTTTCTGTCATGCCGTTTTTCATTCACGATGTTACTGTCTTTTTTCAGATATGGAAACAAAACGAAATCAACGTCCTATATATATAAATATCAGGAGAACTTATTTCTTCAATGCTATCTTTGGTAAAGTAATGGGGCATTGTACTGACCAGTATAAGAGAAACCGAGAACGTGTGGGAAATTGGTCAGTCTGTGACCTCAATGACCTATGTTGATATGGAGCTAACAACCGTGCCGATGGTTTTTCGGTACATGGACTCAGAAGAATTTGAGACTGGTCTTTTGATATGCTTGCAGCTGCAGCCGAGAAACCCAATAACAGATCTTCGGAATCTCTGATTGCTTACGATATAGACGACACAGTTCAAACTGGAATGTGTGTGTGCTACCATCGTTACGAAGAGGTGAACTTCCATCGATAGTCGATCCTCAATATCAATCGCAATGACAATGGCATAGGGCGTCCAGCACAGCAGAAACAGGGTGAAGATAACGAGGAGGGTCTTAGAAGTGCGAATTGTCTCATTCCATGCTTTCAAAGACGGGAAATTCCCATCACTATCGAGCTTATATATGTTTTTCTTTTTCTTCCAAATCTCGAAAAAGATTCGAATGTTGCAGATGCCCATGATGACCAATGGCGAACCAATCAGACAGACTGATACGAAAAGAGAGTAGGACGCTGAAGCTGTTCTATCCCAAATGCACTGATGGTTTTTCTCGTCAAAAGTGTGAGCCCCCCAGCCAACGAAATTGGGAAATTCAAAAAGGAAAGCAACAACCCAGCAGGAGATGCACATGATGGCAGTCGTAACACGTGTGTAGAGTTTCTGGTATACATTGTTGTGGCAGACGTAGAAACATCGGTTGATCGTCAGCATGGTAAGGCTCAGAAAGGCACAGAAACAGGCAGTTAGGCACATACTGGCAATGAAGTGGCACAGCTCTAACTTGTCATCAAAAAACGCCTGCCCTTTTACCACTCCTGCAAAATAACATTGTGGCAACATACGACATGATATCACGCCTACGTGGACAGAAACTCAAAAGATGAGTGACTTGAGAACACAGATATCCTATAAATGACATGTGAAGTCTTCATTGTGAATTTATTGTTTCATGCTTTATAATTTTAGGTTAAAATTGATCATTTTACTTAGTTGATAGTGGATATCATATATTTAAAACTTAATTATCAAAAATGGTGACTGAATGAACCCCTGAAAAATGTATCCAAAAATAAACAAATAGAAATAAATAAGAGTAGATAAAATAAACCCAACGGTTTGTATCCCTAACAGTATGAAGAATAGGGTTAACTCTCCATACCATTGGTCCAATTTTATATTCGTGTATTCTAATGCAAAGTCTTGCTGAAATCTCATCAATGTTAAACTTATTTAATAACTCTTTTTGTATCCCATATATATGTGAAAAATTTGGTTCGTCATGATTTTAAAATTGAAATTGTTTTAAGTTGGAGAGTTTCTTTAATGTGGAGATTCGTAATTGTATGATAAAAAAGTTTAGCTTGTCCCCAAAATTTAAGAAGCTGAAATTAACTTATCTTGTGCCTCATCAATATGCAGTACATGTTTTCTTATCGTTTGTAATGAAAAAGCAGATTTTGTGTATTACATAATTTTCCGTATCGTCAAATTTACGAAAGGAAATCTAGAAAAACAAAACGAAACAATAATAACGAACTTCAGAAACAATACTTCTGCATTCTTATAAATATGAAGTTATTGATATTTGCTCTTATCTAAGAAATCGTGCGAAAATGTCTCAATACGTACCAAGTATACACATCGGATCTGCTAATCCTGCAACACACAAGTCCGCCATAGCAAGATTCACCATGAACGCTTTGCCTATTTTGTTGAAAGCTTTGTTAAAAGTACTGACCAAAATGATCAAGATGTTTCCGAATGTTCCCACCGTCAACAGCAAGGACATAATCAAAATGTAAAGAATCGCCAGTGAGAAATGCGATTCAAGAAGCGGTTGCAGAAAAAGGATTTCGACTTCCGTTTCCGTTCTGTTGCAAACGTTCTCAAGACTGGAGTTTGGCCACGGAGTTTTCGTCGCATTGACCAAACTCCTATTCCAAGTGACCTTAATAAAACCAGAAAAAACAGTGCTTTAGTTGAATGACATAAAACTGAATTTCTACATATCGTTAGATAGTATATATTAACGTAAATGTTTTTTGGGAATTTATAGATTCGATATAAGTTATTTTGTTGCTTTCAGACATTAGTAAATTTCATCAACATTAACTTCCATTGTGATCATATCCATGAATTTCTTCGCTGATCTTCCGTGCTACGAAGCACGTTTTGTTACCTTTGTCTAAAAACTTATTAAGATTAATTCATAACACATTAAAATGCCAATTCAGAATAAGATAAATAGCCAAATAACATTAAGTAATATATATCACACAAATACTACCATTTAAACTAATTAAGTAATATATATATATAACCCCAATCATCTATAATAATTTATTAAGTAATTTATATCACACAAATATTATCATCTAAACTAATTAAATGATATATATATATTACCCCAATGCTATCATTTAAAATAATTCGATGTTCATATTGACATGTTTATCATAAATCAATAAAAAAAAGACTGGTCTGTAAACTTTAAATACACGTTTTCTTTGAATTTATCAATATTTCACTTATTCAATAAATCTGAAATTGTCACTTAACGTTATAAACGTTGAAAGCAAGGTCGGTGTACAAAAACTGTAATACATCAGTTATAAACCCCTTGACTTTGGACATGATGACATCCATCACATATACGTTATCAAAAAATACACAACTAGACTTATCATTATAAGACTCATGAGCTTTAAAACAAACTGTAAGGAAATGATTGCTATGCAACCACAATGTTAGTCGTCAAAATGTTTTATATAACATGTCTGAATTCGTATTGCCTTGTATGGTGTCCTAAGCCTACGTAAAGTGAAGGATAGTTTAGTCTTTGGTATTTAATACAATTTTGATCTCTATCATCTATCGTTATGGCTACGAGTCGCCCTCCTTTGAAATTTGAGTGAATTGAATTAGATAAAAATATTGGTATCAAATAAACAAAAAGACCCCGGAGTAAACAAACTGACTACACCTTTTAATCTGACTGATATAATCACCACCACACTAATACTAGGTTACCTTGACAATATCTGATTCTTACAAACTTCGTACCTTGATCAATAGCTGGTGTTCATATTCATCAGATTTGAAATATATAGTCAGATTTTATGAACTCCAAAGAAATAGATCGTTCTCCTTACAAAATAAAATGACAAAGAAATGGAATGGTTTTATTGATAAAAATATATCTATATTATCAGAATGACATTTAATAGATTAGTGTTATTGATTTTCACAAATTCATGAAAGGAAGGTTTTATAACTAATGAATGACATAAATAGATTACAAAGGAATTGTACGGACTCACACACAAAAACTGTCTATATTTCTGTCAATCTGTTTTATGAATTACGGTGAACGTAATCAATTTGACGCAGTCAAATTTAAGAGATTTTTGGAATAAACATTTTCAGCAGCATTGGGAAAATCAAAATTAGAACATTCTTATCTAAGTCCAATACTTTCAGCGCGGATAGTGGTAAACTAGGATTACCCCGAAATAAGAATACTACTAAATTAGATAACTCTAACACAACATTACCACTAACATAAGATTACCGCTAACATAAGATTACCGCTAATATAAGATTACCCTAACATAAGATTATTGTTAACATAAGATTACCGCTAATATAAGATTACCCTAACATAAGATTATTGTTAACATAAGATTACCGCTAACATAAGATTACCGCTAACATAAGATTACCGCTAACATAAGATTACCCTAACATAAGATTATTGTTAACATAAGATTACCGCTAACATAAGATTACCGCTAACATAAGATTACCGCTAACATAAGATTACCGCTAACATAAGATTACCGCTAACATAAGATTACCGCTAACATAAGATTACCCTAACACAGCATTACCACTAACATAAGATTACCCTAACATAAGATTACCGCTAACATAAGATTACCGCTAATATAAGATTACCCTAACATAAGATTATTGTTAAACATAAGATTATTGTTAACATAAGATTACCCTAACATAAGATTACCCTAACATAAGATTATTGTTAACATAAGATTACCGCTAACATAAGATTACCGCTAACATAAGATTACCGCTAACATAAGATTACCCTAACATAAGATTACCGCTAATATAAGATTACCCTAACATAAGATTACCGCTAATATAAGATTATTGTTAACATAAGATTACCGCTAATATAAGATTATTGTTAACATAAGATTACCCTACCATAAGATTACCGCTAACATAAGATTACCGCTAACATAAGATTACCACTAACATAAGATCATTGTTAACATAAGATTACGGCTAATATAAGATTATTGTTAACATAAGATTACCCTACCATAAGATAACCGCTAACATAAGATCATTGTTAACATAAGATTACCGCTAACATAAGATCATTGTTAACATAAGATTACCCTAATATAATATTATTGTTAACATAAGATTACCCTAACATAAGATCATTAACATAAGATTACCTACATAAGATTACCGCTAACATAAGATTATTGTTAACATAAGATTACCGCTAACATAAGATTATTGTTAACATAAGATTACCCTAACATAAGATAATTTTAACATAAGATTAACCTAACATAAGATTACCGCTAATATAAGATTATTGTTAACATAAGATTACCGCTAATATAAGATTATTGTTAACATAAGATTACCCTAACATAAGATCATTGTTAACATAAGATTACCCTACCATAAGATTACCGCTAACATAAGATCATTGTTAACATAAGATTACCGCTAATATAAGATTATTGTTAACATAAGATTACCCTAACATAAGATAATTTTAACATAAGATTACCCTAACATAAGATTACCGCTAATATAAGATTATTGTTAACATAAGATTACCCTACCATAAGATTACCGCTAACATAAGATCATTGTTAACATAAGATTACCGCTAACATAAGATCATTGTTAACATAAGATTACCCTAACATAAGATTATAGTTAACATAAGATTACCGATTACCGCTAATATAAGATTATTGTTAACATAAGATTACCCTAACATAAGATTACCGCTAACATAAGATCATTGTTAACATAAGATTACCCTAATATAATATTATTGTTAACATAAGATTACCCTAACATAAGATAATTGTTAACATGAGATTGCCCTAACACAACATTACCACTTACATAAGATTACCCTAACACAGCATTACCACTAACATAGGATTACCCTAACTTAAGATTACCCTAACATAAGATTACCGCTAATATAAGATTACCCTAACATAGGATTACCCTAACTTAAGATAACCCTAACATAAGATTACCCTAACATAAGATTATTGTTAACATGAGATTGCCCTAACACAACATTACCACTTACATAAGATTACCCTAACATAAGATTACCGCTAACATAAGATCATTGTTAACATAAGATTACCCTAACATAAGATTACCGCTAACATAAGATCATTGTAAACATAAGATTACCCTAACATAAGATTACCGCTAACATAAGATTACCGCTAACATAAGATTACCGCTAACATAAGATCATTGTTAACATAAGATTACCCTAACATAAGATTACCGCTAACATAAGATTATTGTTAACATAAGATTACCCTAACATAAGATAATTGTTAACATAAGATTACCCTAACATAAGATTATTGTTAACATGAGATTGCCCTAACACAACATTACCACTTACATAAGATTACCCTAACATAAGATTATTGTTAACATAAGATTACCCTAACATAAGATTACCGCTAATATAAGATTACCCTAACACAGCATTACCACTAACATAGGATTACCGCTAACATAAGATTATTGTTAACATAAGATAACTCTAACATAAGATTATTGTTAACATAAGATTACCCTAACGTAAGATTATTGTTAACATAAGATTACCCTAACATAAGATTATTGTTAACATAAGATTACCCTAACGTAAGATTATTGTTAACATAAGATTACCCTAACGTAAGATAATTGTTAACATAAGATTACCCTAACGTAAGATTATTGTTAACATAAGATTACCCTAACACAGCATTACCACTAACATAGGATTACCCTAACTTAAGATAACCCTAACATAAGATTACCCTAACATAAGATTATTGTTAACATAAGATTACCCTAACGTAAGATAATTGTTAACATAAGATTACCCTAACATAAGATAATTGTTAACATAAGATAACTCTAACATAAGATTATTGTTAACATAAGATTACCCTAACATAAGATTACCGCTAATATAAGATTACCCTAACATAAGATTATGGTTAACATAAGATTACCCTAACGTAAGATTACCACTTATAAGATTACGGTCATAGTATCTTTGGTATATGCATACATGAGTATTTTGTGTGAAACCATCAATCAGTCCTTTAGAGGAGCGAATTACTGCAAAGCTTGACATTTTGAGAGGGAATATATATCGCTATTTTTGCAGATTGAAATAAAATCGCGTTAAATAGGATGAAAGAAATCAACAGAGAAAACTATCCGTACAAAGGCGAACTATGGAACAGTTCACGCCTAGCGGTGACGTCATGTTTATTGTGCTAGTATTTAAACAGTACTAGTAACATAAATCATTAAAATATATTGCGAAATCATATATCTTCGTGGGGCTAACTTTTCTTGCTTTTTCATTGGTACTTGATTTCGTGGATAAATCTTGCTCACGAAAGAATTGTAATCCGTGTAAATTTTCATCTTTTTTATATCCTGTCGTGGGCGCATAAATTCGTGCTATGAAATTGGAAAAAAAACAAATCCCTCAACAAAATTAATGGTCTTACAGTAACTGCAGTTTAAAATCAATTGCGTACAGGTGTTCAAATTCCAAACGAGGGTGATTACCGTCCTCTAGTCTTGTATTTTATTCAGCAGCTTTAAACTGTTGAGGAAAAGATTATACAGCGCTCAACGTGCTCCGTTCACACTTTTTTCAATACATTGACTCACGATGAATAGAAGCTTAATTTGCTTGGCACAAAAAGATTTCCTGTAATTTGGTGTAAAATTGGATGCTAGCTAGTTCAATCAACTGATAAATTAAGGTATATACTGCTGGTAACTAGTACGATTCAGGAAAAAATGTAGTCTTAAGGTAAATTACACTTATAAGTCTCTAGCTAAACCAAAATATACCATAACCGGACAGCAACTAAACCAAGATATAACCTAGATTGGGGATATTTTAGCTGTGGCACAGCTTCAATTTGGGCATCTTACTTCATTATGTAATTTTAAGTCCCCCAAGAATTCTGTTTTTCAAGCTTGCTCCCTTCAGTACAGTGGACTCGACCAGCAGCTTTCCCTGCTCTACTATCTGTTATTCAGTTCACCGGGTCTAACTGAAGTGCCACAGCTGTTATAGCTCCTCAGCCCAATTTGTATTATGTGTAAATAAATGTTTTTTAGGTAAACTCATTCTTCTTTGTGTCTTCTATGCATAAGTCTCTAGCTAAACCATAACTATACCATAACCGGACAGCAATAAAACCAAGATATAACCGTGACGGAACTACTATCTCTACATTTGCCAAGATATAACCGTGACGGAACTACTATCTCTACCTAAACCAAGATATAACTGTGACGGAACTGCTCTCTCCACCTTAGCCATGATATAACCGTGACGGAACTACTATTTCTATCTTAACCAAGATATAACCGTGACGGAACTACTCTCTCTACCTAAACCAAGATATAACCGTGACGGAACTACTCTCTCTACCTAAACCAAGATATAACCGTGACGGAACTGCTCTCTCCACCTTAGCCATGATAAAACCGTGACGGAACTACTATCTCTACCTAAACCAAGATATAACCGTGACGGAACTGCTCTCTCCACCTTAGCCATGATATAACCGTGACGGAACTACTCTCTCTACATTTACCAAGATATAACCGTGACGGAACTGCTCTCTCCACCTTAGCCAAAATATAACCGTGACGGAACTACTATCTCTACATTTACCAAGATATAACCGTGACGGAACTGCTCTCTCCACCTTAGCCATGATATAACCGTGACGGAACTACTATTTCTACCTTAACCAAGATATAACCGTGACGGAACTACCCTCTCTACATTTACCATGATATAACCGTGACGGAACTACCCTCTCTACTTAAACCAAGATATAACCGTGACGGAACTACTATCTCTACCTTAACCAAGATATAACCGTGACGGAACTACTATCTCTACCTAAACCAAGATATGACCGTGACGTAACTGCTCTCTCTTCATTAACCAAGATATAACCGTGATTGCACTACTCTCTCCACCTTAACCATGATATAACCGTGACGGAACTACCCTCTCTACCTTAACCAAGATATAACCGCGACGGAACTACTATCTCTACCTTAACCAAGATATAACCGTGACGGAACTACTATCTCTACCTAAACCAAGATATAACCGTGACGGAACTGCTCTCTCCACCTTAGCCATGATATGACCGTGACGTAACTGCTCTCTCTTCATTAACCAAGATATAACCGTGATTGCACTACTCTCTCCACCTGAACCATGATATAACCGTGATGGAACTACCCTCTCTACCTTAACCAAGATATAACCGTGATTGAACTACCCTCTCTACCTTAACCAAGATATAACCGTGACGGAACTACCCTCTCTACCTTAACCAAGATATAACCGTGACGGAACTACCCTCTCTACCTTAACCAAGATATAACCGTATACATTTGTAGAAGGCTATTTTTTCTTTTAGAAGGTTATCAGTCCTATTACATTTGTAGAAGGTTGTTTGCCCTAATACTTTTGTAAAAGCTGCTTAGCGTATTACATTTGTAGAAGGTTGTTTGCCCTAATACTTTTGTAGAATGATATATGAAGATTAATTTGTGATGTTTAGGAATCGGGACCATTTAATTGATATTTTAACAATCATGCCCCGACTGGTAATGGTTCCTATTTACAATCCATTTAATTTTATCAAATATTTTTTGATAAAGTATATAAGACTACTCTAGATATACTGTAAGTAAGACCGTTGATTGTGATTAAGATTTCCAAGACGATATCATAGTGGAAATATATCCTATGATATTGCAGTTCTGTAAAATGTTCATGGTACTTTGGGCAGAATATTGACTGGTTTGCTAACGACTAGTTTCAGACAGTATCATTTCTGCGCAAAGCGTTTTAGGCCTTTTTTATGCCTTAGCCTTAGGTCCTTAAAAAGAAAAACAAAAAACAAAAACAAAAAACAAAGAAAAACAAAAACAAAAAACGAAAAATAGAAATCATTATAAAAATAAAAGATTATAAATAATTAAAAGAAATAAAAAAAATAAAACAAAAAATGATAATAATAAAAAGCTGAACAAAATAAACAAACAGGAGAAAAGTACTTGGATATAAAACATTTATCATTTCTTGATTTCTGTTCAATTTTGTTAGTTAATTAACCCAGACGTTAATACAGCAAGCTAAATGTTCTGTGTTACTTTAAAACAGAGGATAATGTTTAAAAGAATTAAATGATACTGCTTTGTAAAAAAATGTTTAGCAGTTCAAAACAAAATCGTTGACAAACAAACAAAATGTCTCCTGTAGTTTTACAGTACAATATGGAATATAGACATGGAAGTTTACCTAACTATCGGAAGATATTTCGCAATTTAAACAACAAATTCTACTCACATTTCTGTGACAGGTTGTTAGAGGTTCCATTATGAATACTGCTAACCAGTCTGTGGGTGACTGATCAGAACATGACCGGGGTTATATACTGGTGACGTCTACCTCAGAAGACAGGTACCAACCAATGGTGAATTATAGACAGACAACCAGGATCAATACAAACGAATTATCTAGATCACGTGTAAAATGATGTACGGCTCGTCTGAACCTCGCATATATATATATCTTCCAATTCAAGTGCTAAAAATATTCTGAAATCGTGTTTGTAACTATGAGATGGATATGCTATGTTATCGACTATCAAAATACACTGATCTCTATTAATTGTTTTGCAGACCGTTTTTCTTACTGTGTTTTCAATATCTAAAAAGTTGTTGTTTTTTCAGTAATTTATTATTTGATATATCCAAAATGATATATTCTAATATATACTAAAGCGAAAAAGAAACGTCGTGTAACCTAAAAAGATTCTTTTAAATGATATAATTTAATGTTACATTATTTCATTCATTTTTGTATACAATTTCATCTGTTTGGAACCATTTGTTGAAGGTTCTATCGATTATTAATGCTAATTATGCCAAAAATATCCCCCTTTTAGCGATGACCCTACTTGTATTGCGCAACACGGCCGGACATTTCAGTATCTTGTGTGTCCTCCATGCGCAGCTGTCGCAGCCCTGATTCTTCTATGCATGGAATTCATCAGGGTGTTAACCCTTGCAATGGGGATGTTATTCCATTCTTCATGCAAGGCACGTGTGAGCTGGACCAGATTAGTGGGGGCATTTGGACGTCTCCCACAAATGCTCAATTGGAGACAAATCTGGACTGAATGCTGGCCAATCGATTGGAAATACGTTATTGTTGGTAAGAAATTGCTGACAAACTCTAGCGACATGGGGCCGGGCATTGTCTTGCTGGAATATCAGGTTCCGTGCTTGCACACATGGCACGGCAACTGGGCGAAGGATTTCGTCTCTATACCTTACGCCGGTTAAATAACCGTCAATCACGATCAGGGGTGATTTAAACCTACAGGAGATACCGCCCCAAACACATACTGAACCACCGCCAAACCTATCCCGCTCAGCGACGCACGCGTCGGTGTAACGTTCCCCTCGACGTCGATATACACGACGTCGCCCGTCCGAACGGTAGAGAGTGAACCGGGATTCGTCAGTGAAGAATACCCGTCTCCATTGCCTCGTAGGAAAATTTCTGGGCGAGTGTGCTTGTAACCAAGCCAATCGGCGTTGGCGAAGCGCAGGAGTTAGGGGCAGACCATAGGGACGTCGGGCTCTTAGGCCATTGACGCGTTATCGGTTTCGAACCGTATCAGGATGAATATGGCGGTTATGACTGCCTATAGTGTTGTTTGCAGTTTCGGTAGCTGTGAGATGGCGATTACGTAAGTGAGAAAGTCTTATAAACCGATCCTGATGTGGCGTCGTGACGCGCGGACGTCCACTTCGCGGTCGGTCGATGACCCTCCCCGTCACTCGCACACGTTGGACAAGACGTTGAATTGTCCGAATATGCACACCAAAATGTGCAGCAACCTGAAGTTGGCCCTGACCCTGCAAAAGCATTCCTATAGCCTGTCCCCGCTGGACTTCCGTCAATCGTGGCATGGATGTAAATTGCTTAATTCGAATCAAACTTTGAAAAATCAATCCGAATACTTGAACAGTATCAAATAGACTGAAAATTTCCATTGGCGAACT